AATTTGACTTTTCAATTGCAACATGGGAATATTCGCCGAATTTAAAAAAGATTGGATTAATTTTACAGGAGAAAAAACCCCTCGCTAAAAAATAATAACAGAAAAATGCGGGCAGGACTGGCCTGTATGTGGCGGTATATAACGGATTATACTCCGACATCCTCAGAGCAGAAATAAATGTCAGCCTATGCGAATCGGACAGGACTGGTATGCATGTGGTATTGTATACGCGATTCAGAACTGACATCGTCAGGGCAGGATTGGAACGCCGGATGAGACTATTCGCGTCAAAAAGGCCAGACGAGAGGGACCCAGACGCGATCGGCCACAGTACGCTTCGAGCCCAGCCGAGCAGTGGGGAAGGGCTGTACGACCAAACTACTAGTAGACGGCGAACACTGAGTATTCCGCCGTGAGCGTCGACAGACCGCAGGAGGTCGAAATGCGGGAGATGACATGAAAAACCGCCAAAATTGTCGCTATGGGGGAGGTGTGATAGCAGTGGATTTAGAAACCAATTTAAAACAGAGTTTCTAATGATATAATTGAGGATTACCACTTGATCTACCACTAAATCCCAGGAGGACCCTTGTCGAAGTCAAGAACCTGAGTGTTCGGGAATGAGACCGTTATCAGTGCCTTTATGCTTTCGGGTGTAAGATGTTTGCATAATTTCGACTTCAATACCTGTAACTTATGCGATGAACTAATTTCTGGCGGAAGATTATTCCAGAATAAGGCATATTTGGCAGCAAAGAAGAGGGAGCGCTTAGATGTAGTGCAAAGAGGCGGCGGTGGAATCCCCATGCAGGAGTTGCGCGTGGCATAAGACCGATCTCTCGGAGTGAGAGTGTCAATGAGCGGAAGATTGGAGGTAGAGTTGGTGCGAAAAAGTAAGCAAAGGCCAGCTTCGAGTCTTCTAACCCACAAAACTTTATGTTCGCCAGCTGACATCTCTAAGTATAGGAAATACCGGGTGCGACTTGAGAGATTAGTTTCCGGGTGAAAACCCTCTGAATATTTTCGATTTTATTACAGTCGCAGGCGTTCATTAAACCGATGAAAGGACATCTGTATTCGAGGACTGGAAGAACAAACATTTGATAAAGTCTTAGCTTCATTTCCGGAAGGAAAATTTATGCGATATGAATCCACATATCAGCGCGGCTTTGGCAGAGATTCTATCTGCATGAGGTGATAAAGCATGTTTATTTGTATAACTTAGACCTAGGTCCTTTTTGGTGAGGCATTCTGAGAGTGGGTTATTCTGAAAAATTATGGGACCAGGACGTTTGGTCGGACCAAAAGGCGTGCAACTACACTTGGATGCTATAAACTCCATCTGCCATGTCGAACCCCATCTGCTTAAGCGTAGTAAATCGGCATTAACTTTTTCAACACAAACGTTTGCGGTGTCCTTAAAATATGAGTAAAACTTGAGTTTATCGATATAAATAAAAGTAGCGAATTTCCGAGTTTAGTCGAAATATCATTGATGTACAGAAGGAAGAGTAGCGAACCCAGAACCGTACCTTGAATATGCCACTCGTGATCGAGTGAGGTGTCGAGTAGCTATTACCGACCATGACTTTCTGATATCGGTTGGACAGATAGGACCTGATGAAATCGAGTAGAGGCGGCCGGATGCCGAGAACCTCCAATTTTACCAAAAGACTTCTATAGGGCACCTTGTCAAAGGCTTGGCTAAGATCAAAGTAGATAAATACCACTGACTGTCGCTCATTACGAAGAGAAGTGATTAGATTAAGAAATGCCAAGTGGCAAGTTTGGCAGGATCGTTCAGGTAAAAATCCATACTGACTAGAGCTAAGGAGCCGATTAGCTAGACAGAAGTCAAAAAGTTAGTTGAAAATAAACCTTTAAAGTAGTGTTAGTTTTTCAGTTTTTCAGTCCATTCATCGTGCCCTCACAGAATACGATCTATCGACCTTCTTGGCTGAACGTTCTGTGTTTGCCATACACAATTAGGCTGGTCGCCTTTCCCTTGCCCCCTATCAGGCTAGATTCGGCTGAATGTACCTGATCGCATATGGGTTCCTATCGCTTCCGAACTGGTTTTCAATTCGTCACTTTAACATGAATGGCCTCATCCGGCATATGAATGCTCCCATGATGATTCCCGACTCGATCCTTTTGCTCAAGTCTTCATACAGGCCAGTCCTGCCTGACCCGCCTACTTACCTCTCCATGAAATCCGTCATATAATGCCAGATACAGTCCGGTCCTGCCTGCTTTTTTAAACTAAGGAGCGAGAGATTTTTTTCTGTTAGTTCTAATCCAATCGTATTCATTTTGTTTATGTTAGGAGTTTTTTTACTGCTCGCTCAACATTCTTCGTAACATGCTACTTATTCAAAAACTATGAATTAAGTACTCTAGTAATTCTGTATGCCTCGTCTTAAATTCTAAAATTAATGTAAAAGTTATTCTTAATTGCTATGATAGGACCCCCACGGGTATTGAATAAAAATTATTATTTTGCTCGAGACGGCGTTTTGTGCACGCCCGATAGTTATTAACATCGGACCGAGATCCTGACTTGAAGACGGGAATGATAATTGACGCTTTCCCTGTTTCAGGAAAGAATCCTTTTGAAATATAAACCGAGAATAAATGACTAAGCAATATGGGAAATTCGGACGCTTGTTTAATAATCGAATTCGGAATCCCGTCCGTTCCTGAGCAGTGTGAGTATTTCAAACGACTTATGTGTTCCTTAATGAGATCTGAGGAGACATCGATTGTACTCAGTGTCCTAGCTGAAAGTGATCGAAAGAAAGGGATCGGTTGGGACTAAGTAATAATATGTTTTGCAAAGAAAGCACTAAACAACTCCGCCTTGTCGGTGTCATCGATGAGGAAGACTTTTTTTATCAATTAGCATGGGTGGAAGTTCGTGACCACGCTTAGAGGAGGCTCGTTGTGAAGAAAATGAGGAACAAGGGAATCTGAAGAATTAGGCTTGAGATATCTACGCGGCACAAACTCTAGGATGTCCTTGGAAACATTGGACATGACGTCGCAATGAATGGTTGCATAGCTATAGGAGAGAAAGCCAAACCAATCCAATGAGCTAATATAGTTATTTATTAAGTCGTTATCTACGCAATCGTGGTTTAGGTAAGTCTGAACGGTGCTAGTCTTTTTTGAAAAGGCAAGTGGTAAGCAACAATGAATTAATACGTGGATACTGTCAAAGAGGTCCTTTTTAAAGCAACCAAAAGAGGGGCAATGTCATTGGTTAAGATTAGATCTAAAATGTGATTATCTCTAGCTGGAGACTGCACCAATTGGGACCAGTTAGAGAAATTGGCAATATCCTGGAAGGACTGGAATCTAGGTGGACAGGTATTGGAAACCCAGTTTATTTCAGGAAGGTTAAAATCCCCAGTGATTATTTTAACATCGAAAGCAGCTTCCGAAATTAATTTAAAGATTTCACAGAGTTGTGAATCATCACTGGCTAAAAAATTTGGGGGATTGTAGATACAGCCAATAATTACCTTTCTTTGCGGCGAGAGAATAACACATGCAAAACAGAAATTTCCCGTGAATGAGGAAACAACCAAGTAATAGGGAAAGTGCTTTAGGTAGGCTTTAAGATAAAGAAGACAACCACCCCCATGCCAAGTCGTGCGGTCTTGACGGTAAAAATCGAAGTCATCTATGAGAAGGGCAGAGTCAGGAATTAGAGAATGGGTCCAAGATTCTGTTACATATATAATATCAGGCGTCATTTCGAGAGCAATGGCTCTGATTTGGGCCATCTTGTTTATAACAGACTGGCATTCAATAATATAATATCTAATGTGTTTCAAACGGCAATGCTATTGTCGACGGTATTTTAAAAAATTTGGAGGCGAATATGTAAGCTGTGAATTAATGGTGCTTGGAGAATAGGTACCAGTTAGTCTACAGTTATTGACGTATGGGAAGTGAGCAAGAGAAGGTTGAGCATGAGACCTACAGGATGTGGGGATATAGTTTTCGAACATTGGAATGCTAGGGGAGTTAAATTGTGTAGGAAGAGGAGGAGGAGGAGGAGAAGGAGGAGGAGGAGGAGGAGGAGGAGGAGGAGGAGGAGGGAGCATAGAGTGAAAGTAGAGGCTAGTGGGGGATGGTAGGCAGCTATAACAATAAAAGGGTGGGAAACCAGGTCTAGGTTGGAAGTCAAAGGAGGTAGGGGTGTCAGCGGTGGGTTCATGTGATGGTCGTGGTGATCGCTCACTTGCTTGCAGTTGCGACTGCGCCTAGCGTTCACTTGCTGGCACTCAACTCTCACCTGTGGCTCCACGTAGCTGGGCTCCGTGTACAGTTGTTTATAACGTACTTATATGTAATTAATGGAGTGTAGGGGTGTCAGCGGTGGGTTCACGTAATGGTCGTGGTGGTCGCTCACTTGCTTCAGGTGAGACTGCGCCTAGCGTCCACTTGCTGGCACTCAACTCTCACCTGTGGCTCCACGTAGCTGGACTCTGCTCAGCGGCCACACCCCGGGCAACCGTCTCGACCGGCGGGCTAAACCCGGTGAGGGGGCCCTGTGCGCTGTGCCGTGTGCACAGAGTTTGCGGATTCCGCTGGATGGAAGGTCGGATGGAACCTTGAGTCGGCACCGTCGTGACGTGGTTCGTCTCTGCACGCCGCTGGACAGCCGGTGACGGGATGGATCTCCACATCGAAATCGCCTTGACGAGCCCACCTACGCCGTCGGAGACCGCGGCTTACGGCGAATTCGAGTCGCTCTCCACTACAACCCGAAGTCGTGGTCCCATAGTGGTCCCATTGACAATGCCTGTAAACTGGCATTAAATTAAAATTTATTTATTTATTTATTTCGGCCGTGCCACAACGGCACATGGCAGCCCTATTCAGGGATGGCACTGCCAGCCCCCACGAGGGGAAGGGCCTAGAAAAGGTGGCCTTAACATTGCTGGGTACCACGCCGTCTTCAGGCTAGCCAGGGCCGCAGACGTCTAATCATGGTCGAAACAATCAAAATCGAAACAACAACAATACCAATAACAACAACAATCATACTCATTCTCCTCATCCTACCTCTTCTTCCTCTTCCTCCGTCTATTCTTCTGCCTTTTATTCTCCTCCGTCACCTTCTTCTCCACCTCCTTCCCTTCGCCCCACTCGTTGTCCCCAGACTGGCAGGGTGAGCCCGCTCACTCTGGCAGCCTGGAATGTTCGTTCCCTTTTAGACAATCTGAGGAGCTACCGACCGGAGCGGAGGACGGCGCTAGTGGCACGGGAACTGGCGCGCTACAAGGTGGACATCGCCGCACTCAGCGAGATCCGATTCTCCGAACAAGGCCAACTGGAGGAGGTGGGTGCCGGCTACACCTTCTGGAGCGGTCGACCCAGGGCAGAGCGACGGGACGCGGGTGTCGCCTTCGCCATTCGGAACGACATCGTGGGACGACTGTGTCGAAGGCGGACAAGTTGACTGACCTTGGTGACTTCAACGCCCGCGTCGGCACAGACCATACTGCCTGGAGAGGAGTGCTGGGTCCCCACGGTCTCCGCGGCTCAAACGACAATGGCCTGCTGCTTCTCCGCACCTGCGCAGAACACCGCCTCATCCTGACGAACACGTTCTTCTGTCTGCCGGAGCGAGAGAAGGCCCCCTGGAGGCATCCTCGGTCGCGTCAGTGGCACCTGCTGGACTATGTCCTCGTCCGGACGCGAGATCAGGGGGACTTACTGGCGACAAAGGCTATCGCGGGCGCTGACGGGTGGACAGACCATCGCCTCGTCATCTCGAAGATGCGTATTCGCCTACAGCCTCGCAGGAGACCACAAGGTAAGCAACCCCCAGGTAAGCTGAATGTTGCCTTGTTGTCTTTGCCCGCTCACCACCTTCATTTCAGCAATGAGCTAGCTCAAAGGCTAGACAACCTTCCTATCGCTGCTGCCGCCGACGACGCCGCCGCTGCCGAGAACGCCTCCGTGGAGAACCGCTGGTGTCAACTGCGAGACACGGTCCAATCGACGGCGCTCGCCGTCCTCGGTTGCGCTCCCCGCCAACACCAGGACTGGTTCGACGACGACGACGCCGCCATCAGAAATCTGCTTGCTGAGAAGAACCGCCCACACAAAGCCTACATAGATCACCCCACTGATGCCACCAAAGCTGCCTTCTACCGCAGTCGCCGCCAACTGTAGCAACGACTGCGCGAGATGCAGAACGCCTGGACTGCTCGCAAAGCTGAGGAGATCCAAGGCTACGCGGACCGCAACGAATGGAAGAAATTCTTCTCTGCGATCAAAGCTGTCTACGGTCCGCCGACGAAGGGCACTGCTCCTCTCCTCAGCGCCGACGGTAGCACTCTCCTGACTGAGAAGACGCAAATCCTACAGCGATGAGCCGAGCATTTCCGAGGCGTCCTCAACCGCCCCTCCATCATCTCCGACGCCGCCATCGAGCGTTTGCCGCAAGTGGAGACCAACGTGGACCTCGACCTCCCGCCATCTCTCCAGGAAACCATCACGGCCGTGCAGCAGCTCTCCGGCGGGAAAGCACCCGGATCGGACGCAATCCCTGCTGAGGTCTACAAGCACGGAGGTCGCCAGTATTTCTTATACTCAGAGATGTCAGCTGGCGAACATAAAGTTTTGTGGGTTAGAAGACTCGAAGCTGGCCTTTGCT